ATGACTGGCTTATTTCAATTAGCATAATGCTTTCCAGGTCCATCCATGCTATTGCAAATGGTAAGGATTCCTTCTTTTTTACAGCAGTGTAGTATTCCATTGTGTAGATGTACCATAGTTTTCTAATCAACTCACCTACTGGTGGGCACTTAGGCTGTTTCCAAATCTTAGCTATGGCAAATTGTGCTGCTATGAACATATATCCTTTCTGGTTGGTGTTTCTAGTTTCTTGGGATATATTCTTAGAAGTGGGATCACTGGGTCAAATGGGAGTTCCATTTTCAGTTTTTTGAGGAAACTCCACACTGTTCTCCACAGTGACTGCACCAGTCTGCATTCCCACCAGCAGTGCCCCAGGGTTTCTTTTTCTCCACACTCTCACCAGCACTTGTCATTTGCTGATTTGTTGATGACAGCCATTCTGACAGGTGTGAGATGATACTGCATTGCTGTTTTGATTTGCATCTCTAGGATGATTAATGACTTTGAGCATGTTTTCATATGTCTCTTGGCTTTCTGTACGTCCACTTTTAAAAAGTATCTATTTAGGTCCATTGACCATTTTTTGATTGGATTATTTATCTTCCTTTTATTAAGTTGTATAAGTTGCCTGTAAATATTGTAGATTAAACCCTTATCGGTGGTAACATTGGCAAATATGTTCTCCCATGCAGTGGTCTCTCTTGTTTTGTTGATGGTTTCTTTTGCTGTGCAAAAGCTTTTTATTTTGATGTAGTCCCATGTGTTTATTTTCTTCTTAGTTTCCATTGTCCTAAGAGCTGTATCTGTGAAGATATTGCTTCGGCATATGACTGAGATTTTGCTGCCTGTGGATTCCTCTAGTATTTTTATGGTTTCCTATCTTATGTTTAAGTCCTGTATCCATTTTGTGTTTGTTTTTGTTTATGCTATAAGTTGGTGGTCTAGTTTCATTTTTTTAAATATGCCTGTCCAATTTTTCCAACACCATTTATTGAAGAGACTGTCTTGACTCCATTGTATGTTCTTGCCTCCTTTGTCAAATATTAATTGAGCATAGTGGTTTGGGTTGATTTCTGAGTTCTCTACTCTATTCCATTGGTCTATCCATCTATTCTTGTGCCAGTTTCAGGCCGTTTTGAGAACAGTGGCTTTGTAATACAGCTTGATAACTGGTATTGAGATCCCACCTACTTTGTTCTTTCTCAAGATTGCTGCAACTAAATGGGGTCTTTTTTAATTTTTTATTCCAGATGAATTTTTGGAGAATTTGTTGTAGGTCTGTGAAATATGCCATTGGTGTTTTTAATGGGGAGTGCAATTGAATCTATAGATCGCTTTGGGTAGATGGACATTTTAATGATGTTGATTCTACCAATTCATGAACACAGTACACAGGCTGACACTCTATCTATTGAGCCAAACCTGCTAGGGCAGATTTATTTATTTCTGTGCATTCCAGGGATAATTCCACTTAATCAATCATAAAATCTTTTTTATGCGCTGCTGAATGACTTGATAGTATTTTGTAGGGAATTTTTGCATTATTTTCACCAGGAATATTGGGCTGTAGAGTATTCCCTCCTCTTCAATTATTTGGAAAAGTTTGAGAAGAATTGGTATTAATGCTTTTTAAACATTTAATAATATTCCCCAGTGAAACCATCTTGTTCTGTGCTTTTCTTTTTTTTTTTTTTTTTTGGGGGGGGGAGGTTTTTGATGACTTATTGAATCTCTTTACTTATCATTGATCTGTTCATATTTTCTATTTCTTCATGATTAAGTATGGGTAGGTTGTGTTTTCTATAAGTTTTCCATTTCTTCCAAGTTGTCCAATTTGTTGTTTTGTAGCTGTTCATAGTAAACTTTTAAGACTCTTTGTATTTGTGTGGTATTAGGTGTTATGTCTTTCCTTATAATATACTTGGTATGATTTCAATCTTCTTGAATTTGATTAGGCTTATTTTGTGGTCTACCATAATATTTATCCTAAAACTATTCCATAGGTACTTGGAGAAAATTTGCATTCTGATGCTTTTGGATGGAATGTAATACAATGGATATGTCTGATAGGTCTGATTTGATGTATAGTGTTGTTCAAATCTGCTATATTCTAATCTATTCTCTGTCTGATCTTTCTATTGTTGTGAGTAGGTTGTTAAAGTTCCCAAATATTACTTTATTGTTATTTACTTCTTTTGTTCTATTAGCAGCTGCTTTATACATTTAGGAGCTCTGTTTTGGAATGCTTAAGTACATATAATTGTTTTATTTTCTTGAGTGAGTGACCTCTTTATCATTACATAATGAATTTCATTGTGTCTTAACCATTTTTATCTTGGAATCTATTTGGTTTTATTTAAGTATAGCTATAACTGTAGAATAATGTACTATCATTGCAATGTTGGAGAATTTGACATTAATACTGTATTTATATTATCAGTGAATTTAACAAATACATGAATGATTTCATGATGCTAATTATCACCTTTAAAAATATTTTTATTGATTTTAGAAAGGAAGGGAGAGGGAGAGATAGAAACTCAATGATGAAGAAGAATCATTGATTGACTACCTTCTGCATGCCCTATACTGGGGACTGAGCCTGCAACCTGGGCATAGAACCCAGAACCCTTCAGTCCACAGGCTGATGCTCTATTCCAAGCATGTCAAACTCAAAGGCTAACATGGGCCAAATAAACAAGGTTTGAGTTTATGTGGGTCGCAAAAAAAACACACACAAAAGCTTCAATTTTCATAGAAACATAGGTTTATTTCAATACAGACATGCTGAATACTAAGGGCTGAAATAAATGAGTAATTATTAACATAATATAATAGAACATTTTAATAAAAAGTAATATTTTTTCTTGAGCATTAACTTACCAGACACCGAATAATAGCACAAATTAATAAGTGTAATGCAAATAAACCTATTTTTCTTGTTCTCTGAAAGAAAAATAGTTCCTATTGCGCACACCCAACAAGTCAGTACAAGACTAATGATGTGGCAATTGGCTGCTAAAGTATTCGCTGCTGGTATTAGTGAGAAATGGTGCGCCTGCACATAAGATGCGTAAGGGAAATGAATGCAACACAATCATAGTAATCAATTATTAGCGAACATTGTAGTTCATTATTAATAATTATGTATAACAGGATATTGTAAAAATTAAGTTACACAATTTTTATTAAAACGTTTCTTACATACCATTACATTGGCTGGGCTGCAAAAATATTCTTTGTCAGCCTGCATGCGAGTTTGACATGCTTGCTCTATCCAATGAGCCAAACCAGCAAGGGCATCTTTTATTTTTGTTTTGTGAACCTGCTTTAGCAATTCTTGTGAGGCAGGTTTGCTGTGATGAAATCTCTGGACTTTTGTTTATTTGGCATGTTTTTATCACTTCTTTATTTCTGAAGAGCAGCTTTGTTGGGAATAATATTCCTGAATGACATTTTTTTTTTCTCTCTCAACACATCTGAAAATTTAATCTCTTTTTCTTCTGGCTTGGAAAGTTCTGTTGAGAAATCCAACCTACATTTTTTGGAACTTCTATGTATATGATGGCTTGATTTTCTTTTACTGCTTTCAATTTTTTTTTTTTTTTTTTTTTTTTTTTTTTTTTTTTTTTTTTGCAGACTAATGACACTTTATAATGTGTCTCACTATAGCCCTTTCAGGTTCAATCTGTTTGAGGTCCTTGGGTCCATGCCCATTTCTTTCTCCATATTTGATAACTTTTCAAACCTTATTGTTTAAAAGACTTTCTTTTTTTTTTTTTTTTTTTTTCTCATTCTGAGATTTCTGAAATTAATAGATTTGTTTCTGTTTATTATGTACCAAGCACATGCTCACATTTCACTCCTTTTATTTTTTATTTTTTGCTTCATTGACTGGATAATTTCAAAAGACCCATCACTGATTCTTTCATTTATTTACTCGAAGTTTGCTGTTTCTGTTCTCCACTGTATTTTTCAGTACACTCATTGTATTCTTTAGTACAGGCATTGCATTCTTCAGGTCTAATTTTATATTTTCTTTTTTGATAGTTCTTATTTTAAAAAAAATATACTTTATTGATTTTTTACAGAGAGGAAGGGAGAAATATAGAGAGCTAGGAATGTCGATGAGAGAGAAACATCGACCAGCTGCCTCTTGCACACCCCTTACTGGGGATGTGCCGAAAACCAATGTACACGCCCTTGACCGGAATCGAGACCTTTCAGTCCGCAGACCAACGCTTTACCACTGAGCCAAACCGGTTTCAGTTAGTTCTTATCGATATTTCTTTTTAGACTTTCTCATTTTGCTAAGTTTGAGTGTGTGTGTGTGTGTGTGTGTGTCCTTGTAGTTCTTTATAATGAAGACACTAATAAACTTCTTTAGGAAAATTATTCTGAATTATTTGTCAGAAGTTCATAAGTTCATAAATGTCTATTTTTAGGGACAGTTATTGGACCATATTAGTATTCTGAGTGGAAAGACTCAGGCATGGTCCACACTCTGACAGCTCTGAGCTCTCCAAATGTTTCTTGATGTCTCTGAGTTCATATCCTCCTTCTCCCCTGGAGCAGGGAGGGAAGACATTAGCTTCTGGCACCTGTGTTTTTGCTAAGGGCCTGGCCTTTTGCTGAGCACATTGCAACACTTACCATAGCCTTATGGCCAACTGTAAAGGAGACACCATTATCTCTATCTTTTCAATTAGGAAAATAAAGCACAGGTAGATTAACTTGCCCAAGAGGCTTAGGAAAAGCCAATGAATATAGACACAGGGTTGTATTTATATTTTAGAGATGCTTTGGAATTTTTTTTTCAAAGAAAGAGAAGAATTTGGCTAGAAACACAGGTGTCTCAGTTCTTGGTGACAGAAGGAGATCAGGATGTGGGAGAGAGAATCTTCCATTCACAGGGCAGCAGCATGCTTTGTCCTTACAAGAGCAATATAGGTAAATCTCCCTACACAGAGAGCAATGATCACCAGGTAATAATCTCTTACACTAATCAGCAACAAAATCCAACTCCTTTTTGACTTTAAACCAAAACTCAATATATATGTCCAATTCAGTAAAGTTTTCTCATTAATTTTGATATTCTGGTGCTCTAGAGAGTGGCTATTGGTGTGGGAGTGACAAGGTAGTTCTGCAGAGTGCCTGGGCAGGGGGAGCAATCAGTGGTAGCATCCTGGAAGTAGGCTGTGAGCATATAGATGGGGGATGTTGGCCCCATGTGCAACAGTTGTTGAGAGGGATGCACTCCTGGCTTGGCCCAAGGTACATATTTGGGCTGCAGGGCAACTGCCTAAGGTAAGGCTTCATTAGTTTGAAGTTGACACACCTCCCCTGCAAGGAAAAGAAGAGTGAGAAGGTCACTTGGACACTATTGGAATTGAGACAAGAAGCCTCAGCCTGTGTGGCTCAGTTGTTGAGCATAGAGCTATAAACCAGGAGATCATGGTTTGATTCCTGGTTAGGGCATATGCTGGGTTGTCGCTCACTCCCCAGTAGGGGTGTGCAGAACATAGCTGATCAATGATCCTTTCTCATCATTGATATTTATATATCTGTCTCCCTCTCTCTTCCTCTCTGAAATCAATCAAATGTATATACAAATATATATATTCTATATAATAAAAGCCTAATATGCTAAGTGTCCAGTCACCAGTTGGCCATTCAACCCATCAAAGTGTAATATGTTACTGATACATTGATATGTTAAGGCTGCTCAACTGTTCACTATGATGTGCACTGACCAACAGGGAGCAGATGATCTGACTGGTAGGTTAGCTTGATGCTGGGGTCTGGCCAGTTGGGTCTGAGTGAGATGGGTCGGATATGCCTTAGAGACCTCCCACAGTGGCTCCCCAGCTGGCCAACCTCTTGTGTCCCTTCCTGGCCCTGATTGTGCACTGGTGGGGTCCCTAGGCCTGGCCTGTGCTTCTCACAATCTGGGACCCTTCAGGGGACATTGCAGAGCTGGTTTCAGCCCAATCCCACAGGCCAGGCTGAGGGACCCCACTGGTGCATAAATTTATGCACCGGGCCTCCAGTATCCTATATAATAAATGCTAATATGCAAATAGACCAAATGGTGGAACAACAGGAACAACCAAACAACTGGTTGCTATGATGTATACTGACCACCAGGGGGAGACCTTGAAACATGGCAGCATCGGAAGTAGGTGGTAAAGCTCAGAACATGGCAGGTATTAGATGCAGTAGGATAGGTGAGTAGGGGAACCAGAGCAAGGCAGGGCACCAGTTGCTGTCATTGGGGCGAGCCTCTTGTGGTTATTAAAAATTCTCCCATGCACCACAGTCCCACCTGGCACTCGCACCTGCTGCTGGCCCTGCTCTCATCCTCTGCTGGTCCAATAACTCTGCACCCTCAACAGGTGTGAGCGAGGCCAGTACCATCAGTGCATAGGAGTGATGGATGCAGGAACAGGGCTGCCAACAGAAAAGGGACCAGGGGTCATAGCAAGAGGGCCAGGTGGGGGCATGGAGGATGGACCAAGACCTGCCCCTCTGCCCATGGCAGCCTCATGACTCACAGTTCCTTTCAAGGTGCACAAGTTTGTGCATTGGGATCCTAGTATATAATCAGACCAGAGGACTGATTTCCTTAACTCAAGGAGGTCAGAGTCAGTACTCATCAGAACTAAAGACTGGGTCTTTGTTATGCCCTTCTCCCTGGATGCTGGACTCCAGCATATGCTCTTCCTAGAAGACTTGGTTCATGTGTTGGACCTCTGTCTTGCCTTCTGCAGGTATCCCCCAATTCCTGTGTTCTGACTCTGGACTCTGATTGTTGTGATGTGGAACATGTCTGCTGGCTCTGGACTAAGAGCCTGGGAAGTAAGGATGAGGGAGGACCTACAGTCCCCATCACCTCATTTTTTCTGAATGAGTGTGTGCTGAAGGGATGAGCCCTCTCCATGGTCCTTAGATTGGACACAGGCCCATAGGACAATGGCATTAGGGACATCCTCTGATGGGTGATAGGCCATGGAAGATGCAGAATCCAAGGCCTCTTAGAAAGGGATAAGAATGGTATAGCCCAGAGTTTCTAAATGCCCATCTGCCCATCCACTGAGACTCAGGGTTTGCTGGATGTGGCCATGCAGCCCTTACTGCAGGCCTGGGGACAAGAGCATACCTCCAGGCTCCCTGGCCCAGCTGAGCAAAGGGTCTGAGCACTGCAAAGCCCAGGCAGTGATTATCTGGTGAGGCAGGAGCACCACTCTCCTTGGGCCCGGGCCTGAGTAGGGCAGCCTTTGGGCGGTTTGGGGTAACCTCCTAAGATCAGAGGTGCTGACTCAAAAGGGGCAGAGTAGGGAGAAGGGTGGAGTCAAGCCTCGGGTTTGAGTCCAGCTCTGCCACTCCCTGCCTTTGTGACTTGGGACAAGTCACTCAGCCTCTCTGTGGATCAGTCCCCCTTGGTAAACTGAACAAAAATATTAATACCTTCTTTTGCTGGCAAAAGTAAAGTAGAAAAACAGGTAATGTTCTTAGATTAGCAACTGGCTCACAGGAGTGACATAAGAAAAATTAGCCATCATTACGATTAAAGTCCATGGAGTACAATGTAGCAATTTGGCTTCTCTCCAAGTCACAGGCTGTGACATTTTTACTGCCTGGTAAAACCAGTCAGTGTTGGTCAAACAACATTGGAAGGATTGTCATCATGCCTGTCACCACTCATGGAGACACTTGGTAGATGAGGTGGAGCCAGTGGACCCACAGGGTCAGTGGTCAGAGGGGAGGGTCTATGGACAGGGAGGCCAATAAAAATCGCTGTTGCCTTCCTTTAAATTGGAACATGAGAGGTAATGCTCGAGTCCCCTGACATTCTGGAGACCACGTGCAAGGGAAATGCGTAATGCCATGCCCAGAATCATCAGCATGAAGGCTCCTGAGCTGCCATTTCTTCATGTGTGGAGCATCTTCCTTGGCAGAGGCCCAGGCAAGGCTTGGTGACTGACAGTCCTATTGGGCTACTGCCACGGGCAAAAGCAAAGTTTCCACCCCACAGGGAGCATCCCTATGCCTCTGTTTACCTTGTCCCAGGGCTGAGAACACATCAATGGTGCCTGGTTGCAGTTTTGAACAAAGTCACACAAGATGTCCAGTTTGCCCTGAAAAGCAGACGTGGCTGTGAAGAAGCTATAGGTGTGCACATGGCCTCCAGAGGGACAGTTTCCTAAGAAGCCCTCTCACCTCTATCCTTCTCATCTGGCGAACTTGGCACCCACAAGGGACAATCACTGTGGGACATATCTGCATGGGACATGGCTCCTAGAAAGAGAAAACACTGTCCTCTTCCTGGTCTGGCAGCTCCTGGGTGCAGACACAGGGCCCTTGTGGCCCCCACACATGTCAGCTTTCTGCCCCTCAACAAATGTTTGTGGCAGAAGTCCAGCACCAATGACAGCGCCCGCCCCATCCCAGAGTGCCTTCTAGGGAGAACCCAAGCAAAGACCTGTGGGACTGCACACATGGCTTTCTTCCAGAAAACCCAGGGAGCACTTTCCAGTTCCCTTGGTTTTCCGCAAACCGCCCTTGGGAAGCCGGGCCCTGGGCTGTGTGCTGTGCTGCAGGACTGTCAGGGTGAGAGCACTAGCCAGTGCCAGGGCTGCATTACCTGACTCTGGCAGATCCAGCTACCCTTGTCAAACCGCAGCCAGCTCAAGGGCTTCCCAGCGCTGTGAGGCATGTTTCCTGCCCCCAACCCCCCGCTTCCTTCACCCTGATGCCAAGGTCCCCTGTTTCAAGGATACCATGCCCAGCTCCACCTAGTTTATATGGCACTGGTTTGAGCCGCCTCGACCTGCTCACCCAGGTGCTCCCCTGGGCCTGGCCTCCCTCACAGCTCAGTGCCAAGGCACACTCCCTGCACCCTCCTCAGCGCTACAGTCCTTATAGGCCACTGCTAGCCAAGCCCCTGCCCCGGGAGGACACAGGGAGGGGACTGAGGAAATGGAGCCCAGGGTGCACCAGAGCCCGCAGGGCTGTCCAGGTTCCTTTTCCAAAAGCTCACCTCATTCTCAGGAAGGACCCCTGCAAACAGTCCTTTGAGAATCGACAAGAAAAACCCCTTTTATGTCACTGGGATCCTAGCAGTGGCTGAAACAGGCTCCCCTAGGCCACCATTGCAGTGACGTGTTGGGTGCAGGGCAAGGTGATGTGGGTGACATTTTGTGAGTTCCATGTCCTCCTTGGGCCCCTCCCTACCCTCTGTTACCTCTTGCTCCTCCTGGCTCTCTGTACAGGTAGGTGGAGCTGGTGAGATGGGAGTGGCAATGGCTGCAGGAGGCCTCTGTCAAGGTCCCTGTGCCCACCGGGCCTGCTGACATCAGGACCAAAGCAGGACTTACCTTTTCTGGTTTGAGCACCGGGGGTGGCTCCTTGACAGTCTAGAAGGTTAAAGAGACATAAGCACAGCTAGGAGGGCCATGGAGGGTGCTGATGGCCATGCTGACAGGGGAACAGGACACAACATGGGGTTTGGGGTGCCGATCTGGGTGCCCTTCCTTCCCTGAGTCTCCTCTCTGAGCCTCAGGCTGCTTGGGTATCAAAGGGAATTGAGAGCTCCCTGTGGGTTTCATGGGGAAACACCAGACTAAGGAGCCTGGTCCCAGGAGAGGTCCCACAGGGCAGTGTTCCTCAGCTGCCCACCATCACATGAAGACAGAGCACGTGGCCCAAACCCGTCCTCTCTCCACCCCGTCCCCGTTTCCTGCTCTTGCAGCTGCTCTGGCTGTCCAGTCCTTAGAGATGACAGTCACCATCACCCCAGGGCTTCCTTTCTTTCATCTCTCTTTTTTACCATGATTTGACCTGCTTGTTTCTGGTTGGTTTGACCTGCTCTTTCGTGCCTCTGCTTTTCTCTTTCTCAATCCAACGTCTGGCCTGTGTCCTTGCAGACCCAGCTAGCCAGTGCCATGGCCTCAGGTGCTCCCTGAAGCCAGCCTCTGTCCTTTGCTGTCGCTCTGGTTACAAAGGGCTCTTGCCACACACTGTGAGGCTGACACTTTGCCTCCGATACCCCAAGTAGCATTGTGAGATCAGATACCGACTGTGAGCTCCTGCAAGGATGTTATTGCCTTCCTGTGTGTCCCCTCGTGCCCAGCAGGGGCCCAGCACAACCTGGCCCTTAGCAATGACTGAAGAAGTCATGCCAGGAGGCCCTGGAGATGTGGGGAGACCCAGGCTAGTTTTCAAAGGCACAGCTGCCCCAGGGGTTGCAAATCCTGGCCAGCATCATTCTCCATTGGGGGTCACCCGGGCCTCTCGTGGGACCACTTCTTCCCTCGCCAGCACAGACGTCCTCCTCTGTGTCCCTGAGTCCTTCTGAATCCTGGCTGCTGTGAGGCGGCCCTGTTCTCAGCTGTCTGGGGTCACTTCTGCCCAGGGGCCAGGGCAGCACATGGGCCACCTTCCTGAAGCAAGCCCGAGGCAGGAGGCTCCTTAGAAGCCCAGGCTGTGCCAGGAGAGGAGGACAGAGTACCTCTGTCCACTCATGTGGCCCTATGGAGCTTATGGGAGCCTGGGATCAGGTAGGCAGGCACGCTGTTTCCCTGGGGTTGGTCACAGGGCTGCATGGGCAGGAGTCACTCACCTTCTTGCGGCATAGCCTCCAGATGCAACAGATGAGCAAGGGGAACATGAGCATGGCGGGGATGAGTGTAAGGAAGTATAGAGGATCAGCAATGTGCATGAACAGTGGAGTGAGTGGGGGGGCAGTCGTTGTGACAGGTGTGGTCTCAGTTGTGGTCTCAGGTGTGGTCTCAGGTGTGGTCTCAGGTGTTGTCTCAATTGTTGTCTCAGGTGTTGTCTCAGGTGGGGGAGGTGGTGGTGGTGAAGGTGATGGTGGGGGAGGTTGTGATGGAGGAGGTGGTGGTGGTGGTTGTGGGGAAGGTGGTGTTGGGGAAGGTGACTGTGTTGTTGTAGTGGTAGTCTGCAGAGTAGTAGTAGGCATTTGGGTAGTGGTAGTTGTAGTGGTGGTAGTTGTAGTAGTAGTAGTAGTAGTTGTTGTGGTAGTTGTAATGGTAGTTGTTGTGGTAGTTGTAGTGGTAGTTGTTGTGGTAGTTGTAGGTGCAGTTGTCGTCTGCAGAAAGGACACATGCGAGAGGTTTGTGGTGAGCCTTGGTAGGCTCCATCCAGTCAACCAGCACCAGGCATCCCTCACCTACTGTCTTGTCCAACCACTTCCTTCTCCTCAGGTTTCCTCATCTGCAGTGGCCATGGTGGGGCTAGGACTCCAGGGCTGGGGCAGGAGCAGCACTTTCAGCACTGATGGAACCCCACAAGCTGGCGCAGGACACCAGGGCAGTGGCAAGTAGGCACAGGAGTCTCTCCTCCCAGGGTCACCTCCTCTCTAGCCTAACTCTCTCTGTTGCCAATCCCATGCACCTGGGCTTAGGTACATGGATGTGGATCCCTGAAAGTGGGCACCTGGGAAGCAGCACCCCAGCCCCAGGTGCTTCTGTGAGCTGAGTCCCTATCCTCAACATCACTGAGGCTTCCCTACCAGCAGAGGGACAACCTCCCTGCCCAATGCAGAGAGGCCACTGAGGAGCAGGAGAAAAAGGGGCGTCTGAATGGGGCGCTAGTCATCTGAAAATGATAGCATGTGTTCTCTGAGAAGGAGCCCTTCACCAGCTGCATCAATGCAATGGGGGCACACCTAGCTGATCAGGGCAAAAGCTGGTCCTACTGTCTACATCCCTTGTGCCTGTACCTAGAGTTGTGGGAACTAGGCTGTTCAGGGGTTAGGACCTGTGGTCCATAGAACACAGCCTCCCAGCATCTCCCATTCCCCCTATCTGGAATCCAGATGGGCCCAGACCTAGACCCATTAGACCTGGACTGGGGAAGTAGCAAGTTGGCTACCCTTGTGGGCAGAGCATCTGCTTTCTTTCTTAAGTCTGCTTAGAGCTCTCATTGGCCCTTAATGATACTTGGTTCACAGATAGAGAGCAGAATTTCTAAAGGGCCGGGCAGCTGACTGTATCCAGGGCTCTAATAAATGCACTCCCAGGGTATTTTTCAAACTTGATTGGGAAACAGCTCCCTCATTAAAGGCTAAAACCTGGGCTGGCTGTGAGATGCTATGGAGGTGGCTATCAACACCAGCTACCTACTGGGCCTGTCTGGGGTCTCTGGTCCCCTTTTCTGCCTCTACAGGGTGTCTCTCCCTCCAATGTACAGGATGTGCATAGCCCTGAAGTGAGGCTATAGTCTGAATCGACACTCACACATTCTTCATATAAGAAATAAATATCGTTTTTGATGATGGTCGTGCCATTGTCCAGGGTAACTTCAACGAAGATCTTCCTAAATTCAAGAAAGGGCAGACAGTCATCACCAGCCTGGATTGATACAGTTCCTGCTTATAAGTTGTAGACCACAGTTCTCCTCATAGTAGTGACATAGAACATGAGGAGTTTAGTCAGCAGGGAGTAGTCAGCATGGGTAAGTTGAGCTCATTTCTATATACTACAAAATCAGCCTCTGCATAAGAGGCTGACCATACAGAGAGGAGCCCTGCATGGGGTCAGATGCCCTTGTGGCCATGGGCTAAGTGACCAGGGATAGCTGCTTGGTGTTAATATCTCCACTCTTTTGTATTCATAGAACAAATCCTATGCATGACTTCGCTTCATAAAGTTGGTAGGAACACTGGTACCATCCCTTGGACAAAACATCTCCTGCATTCCTACCTTTCTCATCAGATCCCTGAGCCCCTGGGGACCTCTAACAAAGGTGGTTGCTGAGGTGGCCCAGAGCTCTCTAATAGACAGGCATTGTCCCAGCAGAGGTGTGGCATTTCACATTCTGGATATCTCGTGATGGTGACATCTGCCTATGTAAACCCTGAGATGGGCACTTACTGGCCTTGATAGTTTCCATTTATTCCTGGGCATGTTATGGTGGTATCTTCCACAGTTGTGGCTTTTATGTCTGAAAGAAAACCATGTAAGAATGTCAGTGGATAAAGAGCCACCTTTACTGAGAACTGACCTGAACAAAATTTCTATAGTTAAGTATATGAAGAAGAAACTACACTAAGGAGGTAGATCCCACAGTATGGTGATTAAGAAATCAGAGGCACCAGAAAATACACAATCCAATTGAAAAAATGGCAGAGGACATGAATAGACATTTCTCTAAAGAGAATATACAAACATTTGAAAATATGTTCAAAATTACTAATTACCAGAGAGAGGCAAATAAAAACCATCATGAGATGTTCACTTTTGTCAGTATGATTAACAATAAATCACAAAGTGTTAGTTATGATGTAAGGAAAAGAGAACCCTTATGTATTGTTGGTGGAATCATAAATTCATGCAGCTACTATTGAAAAAATTATGGAGGTTCCTCAAAATATTAAAAATAGAACTACCATATGACTCTGCATACAAGTTCTGGTTATTTATCCAAATAATTCCACAATACTACATTAAAAAGTTATGTACACCCCTATTTTATTATAACACTAGTGGCCTGTGCATGAATTCATGCACATTGAAAGGAAATTAATTAGAATTCTTAAACATAGATATTCACCCTTTCTCTATAATAGAAGTGTCAACTAAATTCATGATTAACAATGACAGATGGAAACACATGTGTGCAATTGGCACCAGTGAGAGCTTTATATATACACAGAGTGGCCAGATTATTATGATATCTGAACACATAATAATCTGGCCAGTCAGTGTATATCTATATATTTGAGGCTCAGTGCATGAAATCATGCATGGGTGGGATCTGGTCAGCCTGGCCATGAGGAGGGGACATGGGTAGTTGGCCAGCCTGCCTGCTGGTTGAACTCCTGGTCGAGGGGACAATTTGCATATTAGCCTTTTATTATTTGGGATATACACTGAGTGGCAGGCTGTTGCTCTGGGGTGGTGGCCAGGCCTGAGTCCCACTTGGGGGAAGGGGAATGTTGCTGGGTGGGCACTAGGTATGTGGTGCCTTTTCTCTGTAAAAGTACAGGGTGCATCACAGCAGCTCCTGTGTTGAGCATCTGCCCCCTGGTGGTCAGTGTGCATTAGAGAAACCGGTCATATGGACACTTAACATATTACATATAAATTATTTAAAATAGCCAAGATATGGCCAAAACTGGTTGGCTCTGTGGATAGAGCATCGGCCTGCGGACTGAAAGGTCTCAGGTTCGATTCCAGACAAGGGCACGTATCTTGGTTGGGGCATATCCCCAGTAGGGAGTGTGCAAGAGGCAGCTGATTGATGTTTCTCTCTCATCGATGTTTCTAACTCTCTCTCCCTCTCTCTTGCTCTCTGTAAAAAAAAAATCAATAAAATATATTTTAAAAAATGCATATCCTCACAGCAAGTTGAGGTCATTAAAAAAGAAAAAATAGCCAAGGTATGGAAGCACCCTAGTGTCCTTTGATGAATAAATATAGAATGTAGATGTGTTACATCCATACAATCTAATATTACTCAACCATAAAAAGAATGAAATCTTAACATTTGCAACAATGTGCATGGACCTAAGTGAAATGAGTCAGACAGAGAAAGACAAATACCATATGATTTCACTCATACGTGGAATACAAAAAACAAAATAAATGAACAAAAAAAAACGTAAACAAACTCATAAATATATGAAACAAATTGATGATTATCAGATAGGAGGGGGAAGGTAAAAAACATACCAGTGATTAAAAAGTACAAATTTCCTGTTATAAAAATAGCCATGGGGATATACATTGCAATAATTGTATATGTGTCAGATAATTATTATGTGTACTAGGGTCATAACTTTATAGTTTATATAAATATCAAATCAGTATGTTGTACACCCAAAGCTAACATAGCATTGCAACTAAAAAATAAAAATTTAGAATGTCAATGTACATGTCTATCCATCCATTTCCACTGTTGTTTGCCCTGGCAAGAAGAGCTAACATTTTGGCACACACCAGCTTCTTTTCTCTGCCTTCTTGAACACATACCATGTCTCTGGTACTGTTTAATGCTCTGTGTTTATTATGATAGGAGCAATGCAGGCACAGTTCCTTCTTTTAAGGGCCTTCCCCTTTAGGTATTTGAGAGACAAGGCGATAACAATTAAGAAATAAGTGCCAGAGATTAAAAAAATGCTTTAATATCAATAAACAAGGAAAGACATAGGGGGAGGGAATATTGCTTAGGAATGGGTGACATGTCCTATCTTTAAGGATCTTATTTATCTTACAGATAAACTAACACATTTATTTAAAAAATATTTTAATTTCTGGGATTTAGTTAAAAAAAAACTCTATGGTGAGTATATCAACAAAACCAGACTAACTAGGGTTGGTAATTATTTAAAGTAGGTGATATATGCTTCAAGTTCACTAAATCATTCTTTTTACTTTCTATATTGTTAAAAATTTCCTTTAAAAATAATGTGTCTCAGCGGAGAGATGAGGATGACTGGTGTAGGAGGATGTGTAACATGCATCTTTTAACAAGCAGCATCTTTCCATTTACACACTGAAATATACACCTTTGTATCAATCATCTATTTGTGAGAGATAATGGACAGGTAATTGAAGCAAAGAAGAAAAAGAGACCCAATAGTGCTTATCCAGAATCTGCAGATTAATAGAAGATCAGATGCACCAGTAAGCACCATTGTTTATGTCCCCTTGACTTTGATAAAGGAGGTGGGACTTCATTCTGGGTACTTTGGCCTACCTGCAAGATTGCTGCAGTGCATTCCAATCACACTGTCCCAGAGCCCATTTTAGGTTTGAATAAATAGAGAAGACAGGATCAACTGGCTTAACCACACATTCCTGGAACTGCTATAGGCAAACAGACTAGTCCCCCAGCCATCATAAGTTCCTGCCCAGCACCAACTAGCTGCCAAAACCACCTGGAATCACAGCCTACAAATAGGTTGCTCTATACAACATCACTTTCTGAATAACATGTTCAAAAAAGACCATATAAAGAACACTGGGGACTGTGGGAAGCTCTCCCTGAACTTCAGAAATTCTTTTGAGTCTAAGGTGTTAGTGAGAGCCAGTGTATACCTCCCAACCCCATCTTGATATGGCAGTTGGACACTCTATTAGGTGCTCTTTTCTGCCTGTAAGTTTACCATGGCATGTTCCTGGATACATTGTCTGATTCTAATTAAGCTCCATACAAAGGGAGCAAGTAAAGTCAACAACACATTACTATACATATCTGGCCTCCCGCCAAGTTGGTCCAGTTTTATTTGCCAGCTCCCTGCACAATGTAGTCATCAACTGAACTCCATCTGTACTTTTAATTCTATATGGAACACACAGATTTACAGAGGTCACTGCCACACAAGCCACTTTTACATGACTGAGGAGATAGATATTTTGTTTTCATAAAACAAACATAAATTCAAACAAAATGAAAAAAGAATCTCTATCAAATAAAGAAACAAGTAAAATGTTCATAAAAAATGTAATGATTTAGAGAAAAGTAAAGAATTTTAAAAAATGGGTTTAAACATGCTCACAAAACTTGACATCGGAATAGAGCAAATTGGGGAGAACATCAATATAGAGTTAGAAAGTATCATAAGAAATGAAGCATACCTGAATAATACAGTAACTGAAATAAAAATACACTATAAAGAATCAACATCACATTAGCTAATAAAGAAGAATGGATCAATGGCCTGGAACACAGATGAGTGGGAATCAACAATTCTGAACAGGAAAAAATTAAAAAAAAATGAGGATAGCTTAATAACTCTTAGGAAACATCAAGTGCACAAACATTCACATAATTGGAATGCCAGAAGGAGAAGAACAAGAAAAAGAAACAGAAACCTGGGGAGGAAACACATCAAGATTTAAGAAGTGTTAAACAAGTTAAACAAACAAACAAAATACCTATACCCAGATATATTATAATTAAAATGGAAAAAGTAAAACATAGAGAAAGTTTTGAAGGCAACAATAGGAAAACAACTAGTTACATACAAAAAACCCCAACAACACTATCTGCTGATTTCTTAGCAACAACTTTACAGGACAGGAGTAATGGAAGTACATCTTTAGAGTGATTAAAGAAAGGCAAATACAACTCAGAGTAATTTATCCAACCAAGTTCTTACTCAGAATTGAAGAAGAGATAAAATATTTCCAGATATATGAAAACTAAAGGAGTTTATCACCATTAAAGCAGCTTTACAAGAAATGATAAAGTGTCTTCTTTAATCAGAAACGGAAAGTTATAACCAGAAGTAAGAAAACACAAGAAAAGAAAATAATTCACAGGTAAAGACTATCCCTATTGAACAAAAAACAAAAACAAAAACAAAAACCAAAACAAAATAAACAAACAAATAAAACAGGCGGTGGAATAGACAGACTGTCTCGAGCCTTGTCCCGGAGCAGAGAGAAAGAACATCTGAGGTTCACATGAGGAGTGTTTATTGGTGAGTTGAGGACAGCTATACTCTAGGAAACAATGGGGGACTGCTGGATGGAGATCCCCTGACCAGGAAGCCCCCACTGCTGCTTGACATGGACACTAACATGGACACGGACACCATGTCATTTTGA